CATAGACCTTATGGCTTATCTGCGGTAGTTGTACATTACTACATAGCCAGTGATTGGGTACGTGATACAATAAAATTGACTTAATTCATTATAATTGTGCAGGATCTTGCCTGCAATGTTTCACGTCCGGATCTTGTTCATCGACCCAAATGTCGCTCTCGTCCCATTCGATAGCAACATCCTGTGTCGAATTTTCCGATTTTATACTTGGCATAGTAGTTGCACTGGTGAAATACAATATAAATGTCAACAAACGAGTTTAAAATAAAAGTCTACCTCGCCTTCCGCGATAGACTGGTACTTGCTCCCACCTCGATTACTCGATGGTCCAGCCGAGAGGTGGGAGCGAGTACCAGTCTACTTCTGCGAGTGGCGCGAAAATTTTCAGTGTCATAACAAATTTCTTCCATCCGCCCAACTTTCCTGAAACTATTGCCTCGTGAGATCTCGCGAGATTCGAAAATGGCGAATCGCACAGTGAAAGACGCTCACTCGGTAAAAGGAACAAATCCTCAGTATTTAGTAGAGAAAATCATCCGTACACGCATCTACGATGCGCAGTATTGGAAGGAACAGTGTTTTGCGCTATCTGGTAGGCCTAATGTGTATTTTCGTGCACACTATCTTGTATCTTGTATCTTGCTCTTAGGTCCCTCTCTTGTAAGTTGTAACTTGTAAGTTGTAACTTGTAGGCTTATTTGTAACGCAGTGGCTGGAGGTACGGTAGCCGTCGGTCGTTGAAGCCCTTTTTTTGGTGTTAGGGTTAGGATTAGGGTTAGGGTTAGGGTTAGGGTTAGGGTTAGGGTTAGGGTTAGGTTTAGGGTTAGGGTTCTAGCTCATCTAAACTCTCAAATCGTGAATTTATTTCCCAAGGCGTTATTTCGAAATCTGGCGCCACCGCCGCCATCTTTGTCTCGTTAAGTATGAAAGTGAATGGACTCCCGTACCCGTAGCCTCGAGACATTAAGATACGGTTACCGTACCCGTAGCCACTGCCTATTTGTAAGTTGTCTTTCACAAAATGTCAATTAATGTCACAATTATTAAGGCAGTGTCTAAATGAGCGGACCCGGTTTCGGAGTCCTGAAAACTAAACAACCGGCTCTCTTCTCTGATTGGTTAGTTTCCGAACATAACAAGACAAATATATAATACTTTTAATAGGACAATTTTTAATGCAAAACATAAAGAAATATATTTAATCGACGTGGATATTCGTCTGAGCATCGGACACCTGTTTGTATGCGCTATTTGTCCGAGCAGTTGTTGCGCATGCGCTGCTCATGTTGCATGCCGCAGGCGCACGGCACGAGTGCTGTAGGCGTAGGTAGGAAGTGTGAAGTGGGGGGGGGGTCTGGTGGGTCTCCCACCAGACAATTTTTAAATCTAGACGCTCTAAAATGCTATTTACCCTTTAGATTTTTGATGATTTTATGCCCTTTAGGCTGGGGGCCCGTAACGTTTTGCTACGGCAGCCCTACGGCTGTGACGCCCCTGCATACATGCATTGCGTATGTGGTTACACACCATAGATAGTGTTTGGTACTATCACTCGCGTATATATACGAAACCGAGCGTATAATAAGAGAACCGAGTCGGTTTATAGTTAGTGTTAGGGTTAGGGCTGGGATTAGGGTTAGGGTTAGAGAGTAGGCGTGTTTAGGGAGTAGGCGCCACCCTAGACTAGCATTATATTACATTTATGTAATACAACATGAACAGCGC